ATGTAGAAAAGTCGTTGATTGTGCAAAATAACATGGTACACATCTTAAACTTTTCACCTTAATACAAATCATCAACATCAACACATTTTCCCACAAAACTAAATTTTCAATTATTGAACTTAGATAAACATCTATGTTGTTTCCAACTTGTCTTGGCCCCAAAATAATCAAAGATAACAACATATATTTTTGTTTCATGCACAACCATAGGGATACATTATAAATCATGAGAAGAACAATCCACGAAGTATGGTTAGTACCCATATTATCAAAGGGGTTCATTTCATCAGTTCCAAGTCCAATCCTAAGGTTTTTAACTCATGGCTAAAATATGGAAGCAACAAACCAATTTTCTTCCATTACTAAGAATCATTTACGTGGCAAATTTTTCCATCATATTTTACTTTATCTACACGCCATCTAATATTCTCTGCGTCTTTGACATTAGTAACTAATCTCTTGAATCTTGAAATAATTGTCAGTAGTATAACACTTTTGAAGGAGGACGCTTTTTGCTAACATCGTCATCATTGTCTTCACTATTGTCTTTCACCTTGTAGTGTGACTCCCCACACTTTGGGCATTGATTCAGATTTTCATACTCTTTCATGTATAATATAAAATCATTATGACATACATGTATTTTGATATAATCCAAACTCATTTGAAACAATATCTTCTTTGCTCCATAACTACAGTTCGACAACTTGTTACCTTATGGAAGCATTTCTTCCAACAAATCAAGCAATTATGTGAAAATTTTATCCGTCCGCCCACTTTTTCCCTTCAGGTTAATTTTTTTTAACAATGCAGATAATCATGTATAACTTGTGCACCACTTATATAACAGTCCATCCTTCTCACTACATAATGTATCATACATATTGACTTTCCTAAAAGAATCTTATCTTATATCACAAATCATATCTTCTAGTTGATCATTCATATCTACATCAAATTCATGTCTTTGTAAGGTCACAGTTTGGATTTTATCTACTTCACCATATCGCATCCATATTGTATAATTATGACAAAATTCCATCACAAAGGTGATGAAATATTACTTTATTTTCAAAATTTTCGATATTCCTGCATATAACACAATGACAATAAATTTTTTTATTGTTGTCACAAATTTTTTTTCTCTCTGTGAAATCAAGGAATGCAAGAGCTCCTTTCTCATACACTGAAATTAATCTATTATCTTTCACCCAACTACGATCCATAATATATTTTAAAATTTATATCAAATGTTTGTAAAACCATTTAACAATACAAGAATACAACAACAACATTCTCAACAATATAATAACAATCTCAATGGAACAATTTACTAAGTCACATTTAAAAAAAACATTGTTAAGTCATAACAACAATACATCAACTACAACAACATATATCATTCTTAACAATACAAAAACAATCTCAATCTCACACCATCACAACAAAATATAGCATTAAACAACAACAAAAATATAACAACATTCAATATTAAAACTCTAGGGTTTATGGTCTCAAGAACAACAATATTAATGTAACATGAATAATGGTAAAATATTTCACGTACCATAAACGTGAAGAAGAGTAAAAATGAGTTTTTTGATCCCTTCTTATGAGTTTTGAATTTTCTTTCCTTGATTCGTACCGAATCTAATGGAGGTTAATGAAGAAATAAGTTTAGTGAAGATGGATTTTCGCTAGGGAACAATTCTGTTTTGAAGGGTTTTCTCCTAGGGCATTGTTTTGTTATGTGAAAAATAAACTTTGACTTGCTATTTTCAGTTAAAAAGGAATACTTTTCACCAGGTTACTTAAAATAACCATGGTGATAAAGTATCACATTTCAACACAGTTATATATAACAACCGTGAGGAAATGGTTCTATATAAAGGCTTAACACGTTCATCCACATTTTCACTAAACCTAACTCATTTTGCCTCCAAACTCCATCTTCCATTCTTATTACTTTGTTGTATCATTGATTCTGAAGGTTTAGGATTTGAAGATACTAAAATAATAATTTGAAAATTGTAATTTGAAGATTAATGTCAATTTTTAATTTATCAAGTAAACAATATGATTGAAACTTAATATTGATCTTCAACGCCAACATTTTCAAGATATGTAGTAAAAATGAATGAAGATAGCGAACCATAAAAGTGTCATAAAAATGATTGAAAAACTAAACTGTATGAGCTGAGATTCAAAGTGTATCCCTGAGAGGGACATTTCATCACGGTTGAAGAATCTGACTGTGGTGAAATGTAATTTAATTTTGATTTGAAAAAAAAAAGAACAGTCTGTTTGGTAACACATAAAAAAACGCTTTTAGCTTATAACTTTAGCTTTTCAGCTCACATTAATGAAAAAGCTTTGTTTGATGACTGTCTTTTAGCTTTTTGCTTGTAGCTTTTTTTGCTAGCTTTTAACTTTTTTTTTAAAAGCTATTTGAAGTAGCTTTTGAGCTTATAGTTTTTAGCTTATGATTTTTTTTTCATTTATACCCTCACTATTTTATCAAAAACCCATTTTTATCCTTTATATTATTATGATTTAAATTAAAATAATTGTGTTTTAGTTGAGGGAAAAAAATGTTAGTCATTGTTTTAACCAAACAATTTCACTATGTAATTCATCTTCTATTTTGTTATTAATGGAATATTTTGATTCAATACATTGACTTGTTTTTTTATTACTTTTAAATTATTATTTTAATATTTATTACTTGAATTTTTTATTATTAATGTATTTTTTTAGAAATATGATAATGAATGATTGAACATATTTGATTATTAGTAGGCATATCATAGATTTTAAGAGAAAAAAAGAGAAAGAAGTATGCACCTTATTGAAATATAAGATCAAATTATAATATTATTATTTTAGATATTTAAATTTCATTACAAAATTTATATATAAGTGTTTAATATATTTTTGTGTTATATTATTTATGTTTAAAATGTTTTGCATTTGATTGTTAATACGTTTATTTTTATTGAACAAAATTTAATTTAATAAATAGGATCATTAATTTTTAATTAAGAATGTCCTTTTATGTCATTTTGTATTTATCAGCTAGTGTAACCGATAATTTACCAAACATTCAAATTAACTTATCAGCTATAAGTTATCAACTATAAGCTAGTAGTAATCAACTATAAGCTATACGCTATTAGTCATCAACTACCAGCTACCAACTAGCTTATCAGTTATCAGCTAATTTTACCAAACAGAATTGAAATGCGCCACATTTTCTCACAGTTGAAAAATCTAACTATGGTGAAATGTGTCTAGAATGTAAAGAAAACAAACGCCTAAATAAATAAATTTTACCACAACAAACAATATGTGAAAGTACGTTACAAAATCTACATTTTATAGTAGTGAGAATATCATATTCACAAATCACATACTTTTTTTAAAGACAAATAATAATTATATATAATAAAAGATGAAAAAGTGGAATAAAATAGAAATTCGCAAAAAATGATATAAGTACCGAAAGCAACACCCGAAAATTCTAGAAAAAATAAACTAAACAAACAAAAGAAGGCAAACAAATACAATAAAAAAAACCACCACAAACCAAACTCTAAAAAAACTCACCCTTAAAACTTCACCACTATCAAGCCAGTATAACTACTGACACAAATCAAATATTGCAAAGAAAAAGAAAGAAACACCCACACTTATAATATGACCATAAATCTCACCCACTATTGATTATTCTGAAGGATAGGATTCTGAAGCTATTATGTGAAGGTGCAAGAATTTTTAACTTATATCTCCCGGAATCATTTACAAACTATAAAAATACTTCTCTGCTCCACATCTTTCACGTTTGGTGATGACCTAGAATATAATACCTCACTTTTAATCCTCCAAATATACAAAATCACTGGATGTCAAATTAAACGACTTAGACTTCGCTCAACCACATAACAAGATAAAACTCTCAAAAAGACTACGTGAGTCCATAGAAAAAACTATTTATCAAATCAACCAACTAAAAATTTTATACCAAACCGCAGTTATCAAATTACTAATGATAAATAAATAAGACGTCGTATGGACGAAAACCCCATAAAAAAACACAAAGTAAAACTAAGAATATACTCTATGATCTTAACATATCACAAGCCTAATCTATAATCTCTATAATATTGTAGTCAAGACAATACAATCGAAATAACTAGGATACAATTCATATGTTTGACATGTATTTCGAGTATTTAAAAATTAAGTAATTTTTTTTTCTTATGGGGTTGGATTAATGTTGGAACAACCTTCTTCCTTGTTTTGGTAGAGTTTATAATTTTGATTGTCTTATGAGGTTTTTCCGGTGTTGGTTTTATATTTTGAAAATTATCATTCTATCTTTTGTGTAAATTTATATCTTGTTAAAAAAACAAAAAGATATAAGCTGAAATACCCGTACCAATCATATGATTGTAATTGTCATGTCAAAAAATCTCATAGATCAAACTCGCACTATAAACCGATACTCTCTTTCCTTACATTATTATAATTTAATTAATTTACTAACTTCCACTCCGCATAATTGCGGTGGCACTGTATAGATGGACCCAAAATTAAAATTGAAAACAATTAAGAATCCAACAATATTAGAAAACTGTTTAGGATAAAAAGTTAACATTACCTTTAATTAATTTAACTTTCCTAAAGTAGACTTAGTACATCGCATTACAAAATTGTACTACACCACTAAAACCAGAAGCATCATAAAAGAAACTAGTGGGCTCAAACAAAGCCCACATGACCCATTCATATCATCACATGGGCTTGACTATGACAGAGCCAACAACAGAATGGCATAATCTCGTAATTATCTTCAACTCTAATGGCATTTCACTTTCACAAAATCCATATATACGTTCCACCTTCCACACTACCAAATTCCCATTACAACGAAACAAAACGCGCTCCGTTACTTTTTGCACACTCCACCTTTTTCTCTTGAACTTTTTTTCAATTTTCAAATGTCACCGTCGCCGTCGACTTCCACCGGAAAAAGCAGTAAAATCCGCCGCATTGTGCGGCTCCGAGAAATGCTTCTCCGGTGGAGAAAGAAAGCCAAATTAGCAACAACCTACGATGTGCCGGAAGGACACGTGGCGATTTGCGTGGGTCCTACCATGAGGAGGTTCGTCGTTCGCGCTAGTTACTTGAATCACCCGATCTTCAAGAAGCTTCTGATGCAGGCGGAGGAGGAGTACGGTTTTTGTAACCATGGACCGCTTGCGATACCCTGTGATGAGTTTGTGTTTGAAGAGCTTCTTCGGGTTATGGCTCGACCCGAACCTAGATTATCGACGCTTGAGGATTTTCAGAGACGCTGCCACGTGGATGTGAGAAATAGTAGTAAAAGTGGTTTTGAGTTTGTAGGAGAATCGAGACCTTTGCTTCATGATGATCTAATTTGCTGAGTCAGTCAGTGAGTTCACTCGGTCTTCATGGATCGGCAAAAAGATTATCAGTTATCACTAACTTTTTTTTTGTTTGTTATTTTTGGGTATTTTTTGTCCCAATGATTGGTGTTAGGTGAGTTTGTTTTAGGAAAATATATTTATTAGTGATTGAATTTGATGATAAAAACAATATGAATCTGGTTTGATTATTATTTTATTCTTTTTCTTTTTTTTTTTGATTTGAGTGCTCACCAGTCACGGTTGTTGTGGATTGTAATTGTAAAGAAAAATATGTAGATGCAAATTATTACTTTGATCAATTTCAAAGAAGCTTGGCAGAAAGTTGTAACCAAAAAAGGAAGATTGTAAAAAGTGTTCATCTTTTTTATCTATTCATTTTTTTTTCTTTACGCTTTATGATTTGATATGTGGATTTTCTTTAATATACGATGCAGTGAATATATAAAAAATGTTCAATGTTGTATATGAAATAATTAATATGTTAAGTCTAATATATATAAAAGAAGACATATGTCGGTAAAAATAGTTATATTATTCTTTTAGTCCTTATATATTAGATCTGGTAACAAAATTTTGAAAATCAATTTTAAATAACAAAGTGCATTATAATATGTCTTTCTTTATAAATAATTTGTATAACTTTTACACTTTTGCTATAAAAATAAAGCTTTATATACTTAGAAATTTTGTGTTAAACACTTTTAGCCATCAATTAAAGTGTATAAGAACTCTGTATTATAATATTCATAACTTTTAAGAATCTCATAAATGGAGTATATTTTAAATGTGTTAACGAGTTTGATCTTTTGAATTAGACGTAAAATTAAATATAAATTAATTATATTAGATAATTTAATTAATGAGCTATCTGTATTAATTGTTATTATTGTCTATCATTTTATAATGTGTGTCTTAGAATATAAGTTAACATATTTGAAATTGTCTATCATTTTATAATCCGTGTCTTTAGAATATAAGTTAACATATTTGTATTTTTTTTTAATGTAATAACAATATTTTTTGATCAATTAAGATTTTTTTTATTGACTTTTTATAATAGATTTAATTGTTATGCATTGACAGTGTAAAAATGTTTTACACTATTATTTAATAAAAATATATTATTTTGTCATGTTATATAATTTGTTTAAATTTTTTAATATGATTTGACAGAATGCATGATCGTCATTGGTTAATAGTATATAAAGAATTTACACCGTGGTGTATTACTATTTTTTTTATAATATGTAATAATAATTTTTTTAATTAATATTTTTTAAAATATTTTTCTCATATTTATTAAATTTTATAATTTAATAATATACTTTTTTTTTTTATGAATTTTATAACTTTCATAACTTAAAAATGCCATCTAGAAAATCAGACCATAAATAAGTGAATGTTTCACACATGCTAAATGTCCGGAAGAGATCCTACTAAAAAAAAGTCCGCACACATCAAATATAATCCAAAAAATTTACTTTATACTCCTATATAGTTATACTAATACTCCAATATTTTTTTAAAATGATAATTTTATTTTTCTTTATTTTTTATTATTTTATTTTTTACTTTTTATTATGTGTGTCATACATCCGGTAAAAAAAATAGACGAAACTAAAATTACTGAAAGACTTCCGATATGTTACGAATCTTTTTCGAAATACATGAACAAAGAGTTCCAATTTACAACAAAACATATACCGAAAGACTAACCAAAAAAGTTCCGGTTTGTTACAAACCTATATTGGAACACTTTTTAGAAGTCATCTGGTTTGTTACTTTCCTGTACCGGAACACATTTTTGAAGATATCCGGTTAATTAAAATTACATACCAGAGGTCTTTTCTGAAGTGATCTGGTTTGCTTTTTTTCATTTTTATTTAACTTTTTTTTATAGTGCAGGTATGAAAATTCCTCCAAAAATATGTGTAGATACTTCTGATATTTTTTCAACTACTCAAAAATTTGGTACACGAAAAGAGGTGATAAGGTGGATTAAAGAAGTTGAAATCCGAAATAAAGTAACTGTTATTATCACTCGTTCAGATACTGAAACAGGCAAGAGAGGAAGAAGTAAAAAATTAATATTTGGTTGTGATAAAGGTGGGAAACACAAGGATACTGATAGTGGTACCCAAAGTGCAACGAAAAATATGGATGTCCATTTAAAATCAGGTCGACTCCGGCGAAAGATGGGTCTGGATGAATGGTTGATGTAAAATGCGGAGTTCATAACCATGGTTTACCTGATAGATTAGAAGGTCATTCCTTTGTCGGTAGGTTGACCACAAATCAGAAGCAACATGTTATTGATTTGACAAAGAGACATGTTCCACATAGACACATATTACTTTCCTTGAAAGAGCGAGATCTAGAGAATGTCACTCGGATCATTCAAATATATAAGCGTAAGGGTGTGATAGAAAAAAAAGATAAGAGGTCCTAGTGAGATACAACATTTATTTAAGCTTATTGAGGATGCGTGTTATGTTTATTATAGTAGAAAAAGAGATGACTCTGAAGTTATTAAAGATATATTTTGGGTCCATCCTGATTCAGTTAAGTTGTTGAATATTTTTCCTATTGTGTTAGTTATGGACAACACCTACTAGACAAACAAATATAGGCAACCTCTGTTTGAAATTATTGGCATGACATCAACCGAGTTGACTTTTTCTATCACATTTGCATATATGGAGTCTGAGCAGACTGAGACTTTTTGTTGGGTGTTAGATAAGCTTAAAGAATTGTTTGTGAAGAAAGATTTGTGTCCACAAGTGATTGTGACAGATAGAGATCTTGCTTTGATGAAAGCAATTGAAACTGTGTTTTCAAGGTCGATCAATTTGCTATCTCAATTTTACATTAATAAAAGTGTTGAAGATCGCAGACTTATGGATGGAAGTAGTTTGGGTCAGTGACGATATTGAGTATGATCAACGGCTGTAACAACTTGAGCAAGTGTGTGTTGATTGTAATAAATTTTTGATTATGTGAAAGACACATGGTTAACACCACATAGACAAAGATTTGTTGGAGCATGGATTAATCGAGTGCTACATTTGGGTAACATCACGACTAATCGGTATGTATCTTTTTATTAATATTTTTTTACTGTGTATTTATTTTTAGTATTTTTTAATTGTATATTTTAAATTTGTATTTTTTAAAGTATTTTTACTATGTATTATTTTTAGAGTTGAGTATGCTCATTAGAAGTTAAAGCAGATGTTGGAGAATAATATAGGTGACATGGTCAAATGTTGGGAGGTTATGAATAACAACTTAAAGTTACAAGTGGGCAACATTAGAGCTTCTTTTCAAAAGATTTTTTATGAAGTTGAGCACACCCACGTAAGTCCATTTTACAAAAATTTACGTGGTTCAGTGTCTCGAGCTACATTGAGATGCATTGCTGAAGAGTTAACACAAGTTGATTATGTTGGAACTAACAAGGAAATATGTTGTTGTACTCTTAGAACAACCTATAGATTACCTTGTGCTTGTAAGTTGACAGGATATAGAATTGGTGGTATACCGATACCAATAGATGTTGTGCATGTTCAATGGAGGAAACTATGTATGAAAGTTAAGTTGGAGGAAGACATAGATGATGGGTCAGATGTGGATTTGAGTAGTGCAATAGATGAATTATGGAAAATGTTTAAGTCACTAGACGTTGTTGGAAAAAGAGCATTAAAAAGTAGAGTTTTGAACTTGCCTACCCCACAATGACTTCTTTGTGTCCACCACCTGAGAAAATAAAAACCAAAGGGGGAGTCAAGAAGAAAGACAAAAAACCAATAGGGTATGATGTTTATAGGGACCCTTCGTTTCATGAGTATGTTGATAAAGCATCTCAAGCTTCACATAGGCAATCTCAACCATCACAGGCTTCGAAGAAGTTGAAATTATCACAATCTTCCGAGAGACAATCTCAAACATCACAGAAGAAGCCATAATCATCTAAGCAGTTCATCTCTCAATTTTCTAATCATATTAGGTCATATATTGAAGATGTAGTTAATGTTGTATCAGATGGTAATTGTGAATTTAGAGTCATTGCTTCATTGCATGGATATGGTGAAGATGGTTGACCAATAGTTCGTCGGGATTTGGGGTTGGAAATAATACACAAGGAAAGATCAAGTTTGTATGACAACTTATTTGGTAATCGGTCAGCAGAAGTGAGATAATCTTTAATGATAGAGGCATTTGGTCCTCAACCACTACAAAAATGATTGACTTTACCAGATATGGGTTACTTGATAGCAAATCGCTATAATGTTGTACTTGTTTGTTTAGGCAATCCGTGCATAACTTTCTTCCCTATGACAAGATCATATTCATGAAATGTCTCCATTTATTGCATTGGTTTTGTAAACCGAAATCATTGGGTTCAGGTACTTAGTTATTTGTATTTAATATGACTAAATTTATTTAGTTTATTTTATTAAACATATCACTTAATGTTTTGGTTTTTTATTTATTCAGGTAAACATGAAAGAAGGATTTCCATTGCCACCCGTCACATTAGATTGGAAGAAGTTTCGTTCTCCAACAACAACATCTTGGATGGTAGGATTTGTAGGACGTCTACAATATTGACAATAACTTACACCTATATTACCATGAATATGTAATCAAAACAGAAATAATGAATTATGTCATTCAGTTTTAATTTTATATGTCTCAATAATACATAATTGGATTCAAAATTAAACATAAGTCTAGTAGTTAATACAAATGAAAAAAATATAAACATATCCCAACTAGGTCAATAAGTCTAAAAACCAACACATAAACATAAGTCAATAAGTATAATAGTTAACACATAAAAAAACATAAACACAAGTCAATGTGAACGAGAAATACGTAAAGCTTCAAATAAATTAGAAAATTGTGGATCATCCTCTTCGGCATCAATTTGTCGGAGATAACGATGAATCAATATAGAAACGTGAGCCCAACTAGGATCAGATGGTTCTGCATCG